CTTTTCTTTTCTTTCCTTTCCTTTCCTTTCCTTTCCTTTCCTTTCCTTTCCTTTCCTTTTCTTTCCTTTTCTTTCCTTTTCTTTCCTTTTCTTTCCTTTTCTTTCCTTTTCATTTGCAAAAGCAATATGGTTTGGTTAAACTGAAAGACTCAGTCAACAGGTATTTCCTGAAAATATTTTCCATAAAGAGTTGAATGTGGGTCTCCAGAATGAAAACTGATACTTTCTTTTTTTAATTTTCCAGCCAAAGGTTTCTATGATCTTGATTCTTTAAAATAGGCTGCCTGGATCAGCGCCCAGAACCAGCTAGTTCCATGTGATGTTTGTGGGCGTACTTTCCTTCCAGGCAGACTGATCATACACCCAAAGTCCTGTAAACTGAAACCTGCAGCATGAAGTGAATGGAGCATGCTTGCATACACACACGCTCACACACACTTGTACATGAGTGTGTGTGCATGAATACACATGCGTGTGCCTTTCATACAAGCAGCAAGAGAAATAAAATCCAATTGGAAAGCCATGGGAGTGAAAACTGCAGTGCATTGTCAAATCACGTGGTACAAAAGTCTCCAGAGTAAAAACAACAGTCTCTACTGAGGATAAGTTCAAATATGGTGATATTTAGCCCAACAGTAGCAAATATCTTTCCTCATTTCAGAGTTTCATGTAGCACCACCTTGAAAACACAACTTGAGAGAGATGACAAGAGAAAGAGAAAGCTTGAAAGCAATACTAAGTATCATATTCTGTCTTCTGATCCTGATTTAGGAGATTGAGATCAGATATTAGGAGGAAGTTTTTTTCCCAGAGAGTGGTGAGGCACTGGAACAGGTTGCCCAAGGAGGCTGTGGATGCCCCATCCCTGGAGGCATTCAAGGCCAGGCTGGATGTGGCTCTGGGCAGCCTGGTCTGCTGGTTGGTGACCCTGCACATAGCAGGGGGTTGGAACTAGATGAGCACTGTGGTCCTTTTCAAACCAGGCCATTCTATGTTTCTATGTTTCTATGATCCTCTGCTTTGATGGGTTTGGGAGAAACCAACAGAAGGATTTTCCCAGTTTGTTTCTGATTCATTTTGCTGCTCTCATCTCCCTTGACCTAATGTAACATGCCCTGCAGTCCCACTCCTTTCACAGCCTTTCAGATTTAGATATCTGTGTCTTTGAAAGAACTTGTGCCTGGTGTATGCATTTCTTAAGTTATGTGTCATGTTTTGGTATTCAGCAAGGGACAGAAAGAAATAAGATTTTTCACTGCAGAGATTCCCAAGAGTATCTCAGAGGTACTCGTCTTGTGATCTTGCTTATCAGAAGGTCTGTGAGACAAGGAGAGATGGTTTAGTGTCTGAGTTTCCTTGTCAGCAGGTAGATTTGTCTACATGACTTGCCCTGAGGCCAGTCACCTACTGCTTCAGAAACTGAGACTTCAGAAGACTTTTAGGAAATGAGAGTTTTGATGAGAAGAGGAATCTCAACAGAAGCAAAGCCAAAGTGATGTTGATCAGGAAAACTGTCTTTCAACAATGATTTGCCTTTCCTCCCATCAGTGTTTTCTGGTCAGAGTAAGGACCTTCAAATGAATTGGGCTAATGAGAGAACCCATGTAGCATTTTTGTTGTCGTTTTTGTTTGATTTTTGGGTTTAGGTTGTCTCCTTACCCTACCCCCCAATCCATCAGTGGATGATGGTTCATTGTCCAAACAGAGCTTAAATCCACTCAGTACCCAATGTTCATAGCCTTATGGTACAGTACTGTTTATGAAGCTGCTGACTGTCACATACAGACATTCCCTTACAAAGGGATATATCTATGGGGAGGAAGCAGAGCCAGGCTGTTTTCAGAAAAGACCTCAAAATAACCTCTTCTTGGAGTACTTCTTGCCTAAGAATGATACCCAGTGTGATTTATGCTCAGCTTTATTAAGCAACCCGCTTAATGTTAGAGGATTATATTTATATTTAATTATATAATATATATTTAAATATAATATAATATATATTATATTATATATAATACAATATAATATAATAATATATATTTAAATATAATATAATAATTATATTATATTTAATTATATGTTAGAGGAGCATATCTTTGTCACAAGCCTGATAAAACATATTCTTCTGTCAAGTCGACACGAGTACAGTGTGTCTTATGATCTGCCCTCTGTGACAGATGTGATCATAACAGAGTGTCAGGGTGTGTGTTATAGAGGAAAGCACTAGCAGAGGTGTTTGATTGTGTCATTTTTAAAAATTCTATGTTACATTGCAGAATCAGTATCAAAACATCCATGAGTAGGTTAAACACATGAAGGAAGCAATACTAACTCTTAGCAAGGCACAGCAGAGAGTACTTTTTATTGTTATCTGAGTTTGAAGTGTTTTATTAAATAGTCAGTGAGGTTATTCAGAAGATATGACAAAATCCAGTACAAGCTGTTAAGCAGCAGTAGGGGCTTTCTGTATCTTATGTGTGTTTTCACCTTCAGACATAAAGCCCTGGAGGTGTCTCTTCTGCACCGTGTGAATTTTCCCAGAAGATTTGCACCTACTGTTGTACTTACACAGAGCAGATTAAATGAATGTCCTCATACACACAAAATGAAATATGTGTATCAGATTCTTTTCTTTTCTGAGATATCAAGCTCTGTGATTTTTGTTGTAAGTGAAATGAGGAGTGATACCATTGTTTAGTTATTAGAGGAACACTCCTGGCTCCAGCTCTGGCGGACTGTTCATTCAGACAGAATTCTTTGGCGAAAGTAATTTCCAGAACAATCAATGGCACATCAGAAGCCTTTCATCTTCAGAATGAGAATTGCACTGTTTGATGATAGATGTCTTCAGAAGTTAAAAGGTTCAATTTCTGCTTTACAGCACAAAGCTGTGTAAACGCTGCAGATCTGTCCCAATGAGTGTCTCCAATGTGAGGAGAGTCACCAGTGGAGCAACCACTACTATCCTTCAACTTTTAGGCTGGGACCATGCATATGACTTGGGAGATAAACAGAGGCAATGGTTTGTGATTGCCATATGGGGAGCTTTGGCAGGCAACATGAACTGCAAGAACCTGGAATCTGTTGTAATTCACAAAGGTGCTGGCCCATTGATGAGTGGCTTGATAGTTGGAGGATCATAAGTGTAATGCACTCTCACTTTTTTGTCCCCCTTCCATACCTCGGATCCATCATTTTTCAGACATGATTCTTATTTGCCACATCTGCCTCACTGAGTCACCAGGCTTCATTACAGCCAGAAGTGGTTTTAAATGAAATAAACACCTTTTGTGTAGACAGTAAAATCTTTGGCATTAAATATCTATCCCAGCTTTTCAGAAGGATTGAGCTGACAGAATCCTTGTACCATTCTGAAAGTTGGGCTCAGGGTCCTGCTGACTTTAGCTCTGTCAGAAATTTTACCCAGAACATTTCTTCCATATTTCATTTTAAGATTTTCTTCCTATCTATTTTTCCTTTTCAGGATTATTATCCCAAAAAGCAATAAAATTTGTCTGACAAGCTAAGCAGAATGATTATAAACACTCACAAATTATCATAGAATTATAGAATCACAGAATGGCTTCAGTTGGAAAGGACCTTAAAGACTCATCATATTCTAACCCCTATGCCATGGCCATATTTGCCACTCACCAGAGCCCATCCAAGCTGGCTTTGAACACCTCCACGAATGGTATACACCCACAGATCTCTGGGCAGCTTATGCCAGGCCTCACTGCCCTCTGAGTGAAGAATTCCTTTCTAACATCTCACCTAAATCTCTCCTCTTTTAGTTTAATGGTGTTCCTCCTTGTCCTATTACTTTCCAACTGTGAAAAAAGTTGGTCTCCATACTTTTGGTGTTGTGCATCTTACCCAGAAATAGCCCTGCACAGGAGCTTTTATCTTAAGCCTGAAGTACAATTTCCATGTTAATTCTTCAACTTGGCAAAGTGAGAACTGCTTCTGTCTGTAAGTTATTGCAGCAGAGGTCTGAATTTAGCACGGTATCTGTGAAACAGGAAGCCTTACCACTCACAGATGCAAGACACTATTGCACTGTGAAGGCTGTTGGTGAGACAAGGGCATATACAGACTCAGCAGGAAGCAGCAGCTCTCACAGAAAACTCAGAAGTTGTGATACCCCCTTCCCTCATAGCATCCACATTACTGATGTAGTGATTTTCAAAATACACAATACATCTGCTTCAAACACTACAGAAGTATCATCATCGCTCTCACCCTCAGGTTACTCTTTCATAAGCTTTTCAGCTATGCTTGCTGGTCCTGACCTCAGTTTGTGCCGATGGTGATGGTGAATTCTGTGGCAAGATTTGCTCACAGGGTAAAGCACTGGCAATGTTTTTATGGTTTGCATTTAGCAGAGTTGAAGTGTGATCTTACAAGCCTTGTTTGCTATTGCTTGGAATTTATCATTCAGACTATTTTTTGCAGAAGAGGAAAAGGAAATGAGCAACTGAACTACTTTGCCTGCTTTGTTTCTACACTTTAGTAATTTGTCACTTAATCTTATCTCATCCAGTTGGCTCACAGAGATTCTGAGCTCAAACTCATGTTTCCTACTGGTACACTACGTTTTAAGAATTGAAAAATGTTTTCCTGTACTTTAAAAACAATGACATTTCATCTAGTTTGCTACAAATGTGCTGACAGCAGCTGAAAATGTTCCTGGGCAAAATGTAGAGAAAGTCAGAACCTGAGTTGACAAGAAAAGTTCAGCATTAAACAAATGAATGTCCTCAATTAGACTGCAAACACACTCTCTAATTGTTTTCATTCAATCTGTTGAATCTACTATTCACATCAAAGAAAGTCATTCTAGAAGAGCAGTCCTGAAGATCTTAGAAATTTAAATAAGTTTAGCTATAGACTTCAAAAATGGGATATTAGTGATTGAAGGCATAGCTGCAGATAAGGACTATATGTGAAGTGGTACAGTGTAGCAAACTGAGAATATTTCAGTCCTTTAGTTACTGTATGAGTCTCAAAAGATCTCATATACTGAAGAGTGGTAGGAAAAACTGTGTAGTAGGCTTCCACAAAAGGGCTTCATATACCCATTTTTTAAAGACTGCCAGGACTTATATCAGACTGCATCCTGAGGAACAAAAAGCCTGCAAATGTAATGTCAGTTTCTGTTTGAAATGTAAAATAGAATGTACATACTCACAGATCTGTTAGATCTCTCTCGATGAAACAGACATGAAAAATTATGGCACTGCATAGAAATCAGACTTTCAGCTGTCTTATCCACTGGCAGTGTGCAGGCTTACAATTTAGCGAAGGCTTTGTAAACATAAAATTTGATACTGCACTCATTGAAGAAAGTTGGTCACAGTGGCACACGAATATAGGATGAGCTCTGAAAAGCAAGG